TCATTTAAATCTACAAAAATAGTTACTGAAAGTCAGAAAATATTTTATCATCAACTGAACGAGGAGTCAAACATTAAAACTGAAAGCTTTTATTTGTACTAACTCTCTGCACAGAACAGATTTTGTATACAAAAATCAGAGGAAACATTTAGATGTAATCATGCTGGAAGAAATCCACGGCAGACCCGGGTGTACCTTCATGCTTTTTAGCATCCTTTATTATCTCTGTCACGGTTGCTATACACACTCAGCTGCAGCTCTGCCTCTGCCAGCCATACACATCAACAAACAACTCCAAACACAGGACTCTACACAGATTTTAAGCTGGCGAGGCGTGATGCAATGGTGCACAGGTGCCCCCGCACACATTCCTTTCAATTTTGCTGCTCTATAGTAGATGTTTCAACCCCAACTCTCTCATAATTACAACAGGCCTTTTAAACTGTTAAAAAAAAACTTAATTTGTAATGATGGTCTGGGCAGTCACAGATTTAGCTCAGAATCAATATAGACTAAATAAAATAATTGACTAATATTATCCCGGATTACAACTGAAACAATTCAATAGTTTTAGATGTAAATCTTCTCAGCTTTTAAGATTAGGATGACAGCAAAAAAACAAAAAAGGAGGCGAGTCGTTGAAGGTTAAAATGGTTTGTTTGCTCTGGTTTTCATTATATGATACTAGGTCAGTTCTAAGACAAAAAGCTTTTAATTGAAAGCAGTTGTGAATAAAACCCATTCTGATCCCTGAATTCTGGCGAGCATGAGGCAAGTGATGATTTCAGCTGACCAGTCTTCATGAACTATTCTAATTTTGATGAAACTGGGCTGCTATGAACTGAAACTGCATCAACTATCAAATGTAATTGTCAGAGTTAAAACGTTATATTATCTCTGTTATACGTGACCTCAGTGTGTGGGTCCAGTCATCATTTTGTGTTTTTATGTTAGCATCTTTAACCTGCTTTCTCACTTCTCTGATTTGTTCAGCAGGCGGAGCTTGATGTTTAACAGCTGGTGTCAGGGTCTATTTCTCCCTCGCCTCGATCTGCACCTGCGTACCTATTTTATGTTTCTGTTGCATTTAAAGCTTCATTTAGGTTGAGTTGGGATTTAGCGGCACTGTTTTGGTTTTAACGTAGTTTACCAGAACTAGTTTCAGGGACAAGCCTGAATCA